TGCCCGATAAAAGACACTCGGCAAAGAGGTCTTTGCCGATCAATTTTTTGCCGTGTGTTCTTTGCCAAGTGCCGCACTCGGCAAAGGCTTTGCCGAGTGTAATTTGGCCTGAGGCACTCGGCAAAGAACCTGAATCTAGTAGTGAATCAAAGGTTGGGGTCTAATTCAATCCACAATAATGAAAAGGGTTTAATTTAGTTTTAAACAATTGAATACATGTTTTGCAAGAGGTGGACATCCAACAATGATAAACTCAGTGCTTAGTAGTCTACCTTTATACATGCATGATGTCCTTTTTTGCAATTCCAACAACATAGGTGCTGATGAGATTAGACTACTTTCGCTAAGATTTTTTTTGGCAAAATGATGACCAAAGGAGAAAATATCGTCTTGTCAAATGAAGCATACTTTGTCAGCCAAAAGATCAAGGGGGGTTAGGAAAACAACTGATGAGACTACTAAGTAAATGGCTTTTCAAGTTACTTATAACTGGTGGGACTTGGCAACAAATAATATGGAACAAGTATTTAGGTTCCTATGGGGAGTCACATTTTTGGGTAGTCATATGAACTGGATTTTTTTCCATCTTGGGTCCATCACAATCAAAGCCCAAGTGAGATTTGAGGAGGATAAATGGTTGTTAAACTCTACTTTGAGGGAACAATATTCTTATATAATATCACTAGACACAAGCATGATATTATAGTTGAGGTCTTTGCTCTTTAGTACATGTACATCACCTCTAAATATTTCATGGAGACATGATTTGATTGAACCTAAATTAGTAGCTTGGAATGAACTTCTTCCTCACATTGTTATATCAAGCTTACACAAGAGCATGATTTGTTTTATTAGAATTTTGAGCCAAAGAGTTAGTTCTCGGCTTTGATTCATATAGATATTCTCAACTTCTGTAAAATCATTTGGAATTTAAAGGTTCCACTAATTAAAGACAAAAAATTCTTTGGTATTTTCGTGGAGTAGTGATTCAAACAAAAGATAACTTAGCTAAGCGCAATTGGCAATGAGTAAAGAGTGTTGATTTTGTCACAAAAATGAGACAATTAAGAACCTCTTGTTCGAATATCATTTTGCTCATATAGTTTGGGGCTACATACATATTGCGTTAAGCATTCCTCAACCTCATAGTATTTCTCATATGTTTGGGAGTTGGCCTCGAGGGTTTGGAAGGGATTTAAAACCTTTTAGTTTTGCTAGGGCGGTAGCTACTTGTTGGTCGCTTTGGTTATACATAAATGATTTAGTATTTGAAAGAAACATGCTTATTCTCCTTTGTAAGTGCTACATTCGATTATCTATTAGCTCCACATATATGCGTTGTCCACCAGAAACTTACTTTGTAGGCTTTGGTTGTAGTAGCATCGCGCAACAATTGATGTAGGCGACCATGGTATTTTTTCTCCTAGGCACATGGATGATGATCTAATCTTAGGATTATAGTCATTAGAGTGCTAGGGCTTTTGCTTTTTTTAGGCTATGTGCTTTTATGCATAGGCTAAAAGTGGGTTCACGATTATTGTATCAACTCGATGTAATGATTATCAATTAATAAAAAAGTTTTGCAATTGTAAATTAAACTTTTTAGTAAAGTCTGATTTACTCTTGAACTAATTTGAAAAATCCTTTTGAACTCTAATACCAGATAACATACACACCTTAACTTTTAAAACCGGATAAAATAACTCCTTGACAATCTAAAAGTGATTTCTTGGATGATTTTGCTGATACACATGGTAGGTGGTCTCTTTGTTCATCATATATAAAAATTATACAATTTTCATAACAAAGTCGGATGAATACAAAGTTTGTATGAAAATTGTAGAGGTCCATGCGATTAACATATTTGTAGTTGACAAATGTTTATTTGGGATCTATTAGAGTCTCAAATATTCATTTCAAATTATGATTTTGAAATTCCTTTTTTTTAATTTTCAACGACCTAGATGTTGACATGGCATATACCAAGTTGTAGCTTTGAAAACAATCTACACCATTGTTGTTGATAACTTTTTTGTATCTAAGAGCATTTAGAGCCTCAAATATTTGTTTTAATATTTTAAAGTTATTTCTTTTAATTTTTGAAATGATCTTGAATGTTAACATGGTATATACAATAGTTGTAGTTCTAAATACGATCTACAACTTTGTAGTTGAAATATTTTTATCTAATATTATTTAGAGGCTCAAGTATTTGTTTTTCATTTCTTGTATTTTAAAGTTCAAATTTTTAAATTTTCAAACAACTTTGGACATTGACATTATCAATACCAAGGTTATAGATCTCCATAACATCTATAACATTGTAGTTGACATACTTTTTGTTTGAGATCATTTAGACACCTAAATATTCATTTTAAGTTCTCTGAAAAATATTCATTTTAAGTTCTCTGAATATGAAATTAAAATTTTTGAATTTTTTAAATGACCTTGGATGGAAACACGCTCTATACTAAATTTACAATGCTTGAAGAGGTCTAAAACTTTTATAGTTGATTTTTATTGAGATCATTTAGAAGCTGAAATATTCAATAAAAAGTTTTATGGCTAAAAAAACTCAAGACATGTGGGCCCATAGGCCCTATTAGCCAAAACTATCCTGGGAACCACCCTAAACTATTTTATGTATGTAATTTATCCAGTTTTAAAAGTGAAAGCAAGTAAGTTGTCCAGTATTCGAGTTTCAGGGTGTTTTCTAAATTCAACGACAATTTTAAGGTGGCGAATTGGATTTTACTCTAAACTTTTTGCAAAAATATTAACCCCTATTTCACTTATAAAGTTGTTTAGGTACTTTTGCATTTTTACAGCTATTTGTAATTTGGTCGTAGGTCATGTCCTCATGTCCGTGTCACCTAAAATAATTAAAAATTAAAGTCGAGTTTGAAAAACAAATGATTTTGTTTGTTGAGAGTGGTGGATGGTTTCACAGTTTTGAAGGCTATATAAACTGGATCTGCTCAGCTGACAGCTGCACACTTTGCATTGCTGCGTCAGCTGTTACTGTAAATTGTAATGCACAGGGACAGCTAGAGCCGCAGGCATGGGAAGAAGCACAGCCGAGCAAGCTGACTGGCCTGATGGGCTGATAGTTGGGCCAAAGAATAGGCTTTTCTCTATGTTCTAATGATATCGAGCAGAGATAGATGACAGAGTGAAGTCTTCGTTTCGCGAACACGTCTGACTAGCAAAAATTTTGGAACTTGAGACTACGCATCCACTATTGTTTAAGATGTCACTGTTATAGAACTCACAATATTTATTTGTTCAATGTACAAATTATATTAATGGGTTTTGGAATTACTGCGAGATAACTAAATAATCTTACAATTACGTGTAATGCATGACACCACGTATAAGCCAGCATACACAGAACCCGTATCAAGTGGTTAAATGGAACTAATTAGACTGTGATGAAACATGGAGTGTGAAATTTAGTTCGGTAGAAGCATCGGACACTAGTACTGGCTGGTACGAAAGGCTAGTGAAATGTTTCACTAGCCTTACTCGAGAATCGCCTAAGACTACCGCTAGTGTAATAATTCAATCTACACAGCGGGCATACTTACACAATCTGCTAGTGCAGATCTTTTTCACGATTTGCAAATCAGGCCGTGGGTGTGGTCGTGGTGGATCAAACTTATGATCTCATGCCTCAAGTATTGTTTCCTTAACCATTGCATCTCAAAGTCACTTGTAACTAAGTAGAAGATACATTCTTTTTTATTTACTTTAATGAATATTGTATTGCATATTTGAGACGCTAAATGAATTTAATTTTAAAAACTTTACTAAAAAATTTTAGACCTTTTTTAGTACTACAACTTTCATTTAGGTTATTTCTCCATCCAAACCATTTAAAAATTCAAAAAATATGAACTTCAAATTGTTAACCTTAAAATAGAATTTCTGGTTTAAAAGATTTTAAACTAAATATAGTTAACTACAAAGGTGTAGATATTTTCAAGTACTAAAACTTTGGTTTGGATCTTTTCTTCATCCGAGGACATTTGAAAAGTTTCAAAAAAATAATTTCAATTATTTGTACTGGCGACAGGTTAAGAAAACCATCGGTATAACTACATCTTCACTAACAATTTTTTTAAAGTTGCCGCTAGTATAAGTCTTCTAATTACATTGGCGATTGTCTTAAAAGCCTACCATCAGTGTAAATGTTTTTTCCCTGGAAGTCCATATGTACAGGCCCAGGGTTCTATCTTTACTGCCGCATGTCCTTTATTAGCCGCTAGTGGAAAAATTCTTAGCGTTGACAGAAACCATTTCAATACTATACTAGTGGGAGCTGCAACAATAATAGATTTTGACGGGGACATTGTCAAACATGAAAGATTGATTTGATTGACCGCCCAATTCCCATAGTTTTAGGACCAACAGGCAGAAATCTAAATTCTTGAGAACTAGACAAGAAACATTTCATCACGCTTAAGAAATCTAAATTCTTAAGAGGTGACGCGTTAATCAATGGAAGCTATCTCTTGCAATTCTTTTTTTAAGTAGTGAACTGTTAAGTGATCGAGCCAGACACATTGATATGTGTCTGGTCGATTAACCAATATTTACGTGGACGGTGTGACCAGTAAGATCTATACACGTCATACCAAAATGCTTGGCATGACTCTAGTACAAGTACACATCCACGTTCTCCTTTCTTCATCCTCTCACAGGCCGACTATAAGCACATTTAAATGGCTCTCGTCATTTAAATTCTACAAATAGTCTACTCCATGCATTACTACTTATGGTATATAATTAATATTATTAGATAGATATTTGAATCTAGTTTTTTAATAGATTTATTTGGAGATATAAATGTCGCACATATTTTCTACAAATATAGTTAAATTTTGACACGGAAATCAACGGCGACAGTTAATTGGGGACATAGGGAGTACACGGTTACAAGATTAATTGAAGAAGGACAACATATCAAGATTCAGGCAAAACGACAAATGCATGCATACCTCTCATGCGGGCAAGGGTGTTCCTGACCTTGAGCTCGCAGCCATCACAGTCCATCCTCACCTTGAGCTCCACCGTGTGGAACTGCTTCCTCTTCCTGCTCTGCCTCTCCCTGCTGGCTCCCACCAGCTCCGATGCCACGCCTCCCATTGCGCTACTAGCTCTCTTGCCTCGCCGCGCCGCTGCCACTACACAGCTTTGTATTTCTACTAATAATAACTGGCTAATTCACTTGAACTTGCAAGACTTGCTGGCTAATGGAGCGAGTGTGTGCCAGTTCCAAGGCTCGATCGGGTATAATCAGGTTAATATGTGGCCAGGCATGCATGCCTATGAGCTAGCTAGGTTACGTTGTTCATGGGAAGGTGGCTTTATTTATTTCCATCACAAGATGCCGATCTAGATGAGTTATTCTTCCTACCTTGGTTGCTGCTACAGTACGTATTGATCTCGTAAACCAGACAGGATTGTTCGTTCTAATATGCAATGGACTTTTTCGCTTTTGAAAGGAGATGTGGATTCGCCTAAGCTCTCTCGTCCCAAATAAAGGCGCATATGACCGACCATTTCAATAAAGGATGCTACTGATCTATCATGTATTCTCTCGCTAACCTGTTCAAAGGCATCAGTCTACATTCTTCTCTGCTTATTAGCACCAGTAAGGTAATTGACTAGTACCTCGGGTTTAAGATCTTCAGCAGCACTACTTCAAAGGTACTTTTTAGCGAACGAACAGTGTTTTTCTCTCACAATAAATTAGCATAAGCACGCCCTTGTTCGTTTCGCTGAAATTTGGCTTATGCTGATGCTTATGCTAATTTGTTGTGAGAGAAAAATATTGTTCGTTCGCTGAAAAGCACTGCTGAAGTAGTGCTGCAGAACAGGGATCTCATCAGTGTGTGACCAAAGTAGAGAAAATGCGGGATGTGAGAATCTCGAGTCATCTAGATCCGTGGTGGCCCGGCCTAGTGAACTAAGCAATGTTCGTCTTTAAATGCCAACCGATGGAACTATCCATTGTCTTAGATTTGACATATATGTCAAATTCCTCATTGGCAAGAAAAACTGCAAAAATTCTGCTCCCTCCATTTGTTAATTAGGAAATGATCCAAATTCATGTAGCTCTAGCTGATTATTGACAATTTTCGCCCTTTTAGAAACAAAGACTTGTATATATGCTTCGATTTCCATGGTTTGGAAGATCGATTGAGGGTGATCTTTACATCTACTGATATTGTTTTTTCGAATGAGGTGATTTTCTGCTAAAAAGTTTGACTTTATAGGCATTCTCTGGAATGCCTTTCCATTATTTTATCCTTTTAAAAAGCAACGGCGAATTACTCATTGGTCATGCCACTCTCTTTCACGTGAAAAGTGTGTGCTTGACTCAGTTTAGGCGGCGAGTTAAAGGTGCACACACCATTGATGCTCTCAAAGTTAGTAAGAGATTCAGATCTTTGCCTCCCTATGACTAATCTTCGGCTATCATCTCTGTAAATAGCTTTTGACTTTGCTTTCGTCTCATGCATGCCAGTTCGTTAAAAAAAAAGTTAGTAAGAGATCCTTTTCAACTATAGTAAAAGATTGTACCAGCTGTCAGATCGAGGAGACAGCAGCTGAGCAGCGCAAAACCGTTGGTGTATCTTTTTTTCACTGAAAGAGTATTGTAATTAACAGATCTTATATTCTTATACCTAAGGACTCTAGGGTACATGCACCTTTGAGGGAGTCAATAAAAACGGACGGCCATAACAAACTGTATGTAGAAGTGAAAGTACGCAAAGCATATATATTTCTCAAATAGAGTTGGCAAAGCACGCATAAGAGTCAACTAGAAACACATACATGAGTTATTGAGTTCCACTGAGTATCACAGGAATTTCATACTTCCTCCGTTACATAGTTTTTACTCTATATATACAGTAAAAACAATGCATCTAGAAAAATCAAAATGTCTTTTAATTTGAAATGGAGAGAGTAAGAAATAGTACAACACCCGTTACATAATATAATGGATCGAAGGACTGGTTAATTTTCCCGACTCCCAATTTCCCAAATAAGAACTACAACCGCTGCAAAAGTAGCTAGGTTTTCTCTCCACCTTCCCTATATATGCCCGTTAGCCAATTCCTCAGCATATGAGAACCACAAATAATCAGAAGCATCGGACAACTTTAAGAACTTATCATTGCATCAACACACATTATATGAACAGATAGTCTCGTGACCTTTGCATGCATAGCTGGCTGAGCCAGAAAGGATGAAAGCTGATGGAATATGAGAACTTTGGTGATGAGTGGGTGTATCGACTGTGGGACTGAGCTAGGAAACAGTGACCTTCTACCCAAAATGGAACATATACCTAGCAATTATTTGCGGAACACGTTGTCATGTTTGCTAAGGAATGCCTTTGTCTAGAATCCTTCAGATGTGTGATTGTGATCTACTACCTCTATCCACAAAAGAATACAATTATGGGATATGTGCCGGTTAAAATAACTCAAGTTTGACCAAGTTTGTAACAAATATTAGTAGCATTTATGTCTCCAAATAAATTTATTATAAAAAATGTATTCTATAACTAATATAATGGTACTTATTTTGTATCATAAATATTTGTACTTTTTTATATAAATTTAATCAAAGTTCAAACTGTTTGACTTTTCAAAAAGCGAGAATTATATTCTTTTGTGGATGGAGGGTGTAACATATCTATGCCTAGGTATATATAGTTATCGGTGTGAAATGTGGCCGACAAGTAAATATTTGTAGTTTTGTCGTGCGTTGTGATCGGATGTGGCCTAGCATGCGATGACACATGATTTGTATTAGTTTAGGCAACGTGCCCTACATCCAGTTTTAGTCAGTCGATGACTTTATTCCTGAGCTCAGGTGCTCGAAGTTTGCTGTGGGGTTACAAATGAGTAAGTAATGAGAAGGCGGGTGTTAGAGGTCCGGTCGGACTCTGATTTGAGTAGAAGAGAGTGACAGATGCTCAAACGTGCGCTAAGTATTAGAGCGTATGCTTTGTGTGTCCGAGCTTATCAGCTGTTAAGAGTGTGTAGACTGTGTAGCTGTCGAGCTCTAGAGTCGTTGAGCTGTCTTTCTTTTCAGAGAGAGCGTATCCTCTTTTATAGAGGAAGGGGATGGCCTAACAAGTCAAAGACGAAAAGAGAGAGTGTGTGTACGGGTGCTATCTAGTCTTGTTACCCACGCCATCGGATATGACACGTCATCACCACCCTACTGTTCATGACCTGTTGTACCTGGCAGGCTGCACAGTGCTCGCCCACCTTACTGTTCATGACCTGGCAGGCTGCATAGTGTTCATCCTGGGACGACAAACGATGGCGCCCACAATACTATTTGTGCTCTGACATGTCTGGTAGGCTGTATACTGTCTGTCTGACATGGCCTAACGGCACCGTCCTGTAGGTGCGTAGGGCATGACAAGGTAGGATCCTCGGTATTATGGTTGACTTGAGCGCCTTACCTTATCTGCTCTGCGCTCCCTGGGCCCACATCGAGCGGGTGTCCTGGTCGGTTGTTCCCAGTCGGCCCCGACCATGTCGGTTGGGAAAGAGAGGCGAGTAAAGGTCCAGCATATCCTCGGTCGAAGGAACGGGGTCGGAGTCGGACTGTGGTCCCACCATGGCCAGGCTTTTCGGTTGGGGCTCCGACCAGGTCTCCTGGCCGGAGGTGCCGGTCGGGGACCGGATCGTGGTCTCGGCCTGTCATTGTGTATCTGGGTCGGCCTAGACGCACGCTGTCGCTGCGCTGCCTGCTGGGCCAAGTATTGCAGGGAAGCGGGTCCATTGGGGACCCCGGGTTTATGAACTCGACAGGAGCCCCTGAGCCCCTTTAGGGCTTCTATGAAGCCATGAAGGGGCTATTGAGTTGTCGCTTTTGAGGGTGCACGGGAGTACGATGCTAGAAGATCTTTCGTAAGGAGAGAGCATCGTACGTCTCAAATGGGCCCCCGTCTCGGATTCTGGATCAGAGAACGGAGAGAGGGAGGAGAGCATTGTAGCGGGAGAACAAGGATCTTGGCTCCCTTGTTCCACTTCATGCCCCAAGGTACGAAGCAGTCCCAGGGCTGTTCACACACGATTTGTGTGTTATTGTAAAAGCTTGGGGCTTGTGTCTTTAGCTTAATGAAAGCTTGTATTTGCTTTGTAATTCATATGCCCATTGCGTCGTGGAGGCGGGCTATTTATTGGAACTTCGGTGTTTTCCCCCTTGGTTTGTTGTACCGCGTAGGGTAACCAAGTAGCATTTAGGCGCCCAGCCTCCACGGGGAGGACTGGTGAAGGCCGCGGAGGCGCGCCGGGGGGATATTGTCACCCAGCCCCTGATGAGGGGACCGGCGAAGGCCACGGAGGCGCGTCGAGTAGACATAGGCGCCCAGCCCCCAAAGGAGGGGAACTCATCGGTAGTCTGTGTTCTACCGGGTGCGCGTGAGCGTACCCAGTGGGTGTAGCCTCCGAGCCTATGGCCGACTGGTGAGTTGGTCGGAGGCTGAGCACCTTAGTACTCTTTTCTGGGGCCCCAGACTCCTGTGTTCTTGCCAGTCGGGGTGTTCGCCCATGTTTGTCCCACCCGTGACCTGCGCGGTCGGTTGGATTCCTGAGTCGGTAGGGGTCGGTCAAGTTTCATGCGTCACCCCGTCCATGATTTCCGCAATTGGAGGGGTTGAGCTAACATCGCTTGCCACGATGGCTCGAGTGATGCGCTCGGTGAGCTTACTAACGGGCATGTCCGAGTGGAATCCGGGTCCGTCGTTCGTAACTGGGTCAGCATAGCCCTCATGTGGCATTCTACTGCTCCTTAACCTGCCTCCCGATAGATGCCTGAGCCATCCCAGAGACTGACTCAGGTGGCCCACTGGCCTCACCTCGATGGAGATTCTGTGGGCATGGCTTGAGATTAGGATCGAACGAGAACGTTGAGATGACCCTGTCCGCTTCTGAGCAAATCGAGTGAGGGCCACTGGGGCTCATCTGCATTTTTTCCCCTGGCTCTGTTTGACACGAGGTGGCCTCAAGCCCTTTGTGGGCTGGCCTTTGAACCCCGGTCAGTTGCCGCTCATATCGAATGAGACGACTATCCCTTCATGACGCGACATGAAGCGCTGTGATGCAACAATTGCA